TGATGCGTCTAATGTGTCTAAAGCTGTCCATTTGCTTCATATAATGTCTTGTATCAATTAGGTAAATCCTAGCTTCAAGTGCCCCCTATTAGTCACCTCCCGACCCCAAGCTATCCTATAAAAAAGACCATGTAAATGTGGAGCTTTATTCCTATCGGACCCGAAATCCACCTTGCTGATCATTTCTTTCCGGAAGGCTTTTCGGGGACTTTTTTCTTATGCTTCATACATAATAGTTTATGAAGGAAATCAATATTTTATTCAATTTGTTTAAGTTTTTTCTTTTGCATAATTGTTTGACCTCTAAAGTACTTGTTTCTGTAAACATTTTAATTGTATTTTGTTCGATTACGGTAAATATTCCTTTATTGGTTTCAGGATATTGGCAAATTCCAAACCTTGTCCCAAATGCAAACGACCGATCGAGAAAAATCAAGGGTGCATGCATATTACTTGCACACCACCCTGTAAATTTGAGTTCTGCTGGTAATAAGCCTTCTTATTATAAGGGAAAAGGTTATCAAATTGCTTATAGGATCTTTATTACTTTTAAAAATTGTTGGAAACTTTCACAGGCTTTGTCTTGGTCCATGGTCTGATCATGGAGAGAGGACAGGAGGATTTTATGCATGTAATCGCTATGAAACTGCAAAGCAAGAGGGAGTGGTATTGTTTATAGACTATTTATGTTGAACCATTATTATTTTCTTGTTGCAACTCATTTTGTTCTGTATTTTATTTATGTTTCGTCATCTTTGTTCATCAGTATGATGATGCTGAAAAGCGCAGAGAGATGGCCAAGAATTCGCTGGAGAGGTACACTCATTATTATGAAAGATGGGCCACGAACCAATCGGTATGCTTTCTTCTTTTGCTCGCAAAGGAACAGTACTCGTCCAGACTTTTTCGAACATATGTTCGTTTACTAGGACATTTAACATTGTGTTGGTATTTCCTTATACTCTGTATAAGACTATTGCTTGCTTAGACCTTGGTTGATAGATTGAGGAGAGTCCTTCCTAATAATATCTCGAGTTCTCGGGGGAGATTTTATTGAAGGGTGGCGAAATTTGGATCAAGTGCTTATTGCTAATGAAGCCATTGAGGACTATAGGGAGAGAAAAGAGGAGTGATCTTTAAGATTGACTTTAAGAAAGGGTTTATCAAAATGTTTTTGAGCAAGGGGTGGTCCACCTATGATCCACCGTTAGTAGATATTGTCCTCTTTGGGCTTTCCCTTTCGGGCTTCCTCTCAAGGCTTTAAAACGGGTCTACTAAGGGAAGGTTTCCACACCCTTATAAAGAGTGTTTTGTTCTCCTCCCTAACCAATGTGGGACATCACAATCCACCCCCCTTCGGAGCCCAGCGACCTCACTAGCACTCTTTCCTTTCTCCAATCGATGAGGGACCACCACCAAATCCCCTCCCCTTTGGGGCCCAGCGTCCTTACTGACACACCGCCTCGTGTCTACCTCCCTTCGGGGAACAGTGAGAAGGCTGACACACGTCCGGTGTCTGGCTCTGATACCATTTGTAACGACCCAGATCCACCGCTAGCAGATATTGTCCTCTTTGGGCTTTCCCTTTCGGGCTTCCCCTCAAGGCATTAAAACGTGTCTACTAAGGGAAGGTTTCCACACCCATATAAAGGGTGTTTTGTTCTCCTCTCCAACCAACGTGGGACATCACAGTCCGAAAGCCTGAAAAGAACATAATTTAATCAACTAGTATGTGATGCTGGTTGAAGCTACAAATAGCAAGAGACCTCAGAATACGTGTATTTGATATAGACTTTAATTTAAATGAGAAGGTCGAGTTATCGACAAAAATCTAGGGGCTTTTTATAAAATAAAAGTACTAACATCGTTTCCTAAGCACAATTTCTATGTTACGAATGATTAGTGTTCATCTCATCTCTTCATCCAAATTTTATCATTTTATGTAGTGGTTTCGTGGCTTGTTGGTACGTTGACTTGTTCATCAATAAATAAGTTCCGTTCATAGTTTTGCATTTCTGAATATTGTTTTAAAGTTATGCATAATTGAGCTCATTATGTACTCACTATGCATAATCGAACTCGGGAGCTTAACCGTGCTTCATAACTACAGTCTAGGCAAAAGGCGCTTGCAGATCTCCATCAAATGCAAACCGTGCATGTAAGTCAATGCACTCTCGATATTGTGGATTAGTTGGACTATTGTTTTCGTAGGGGATTTTTAAGCCCCGAATTCTTGTATTTTTATTTATCTCATCCACTTCCGAACACGGTTTTGTGCTAATAGATGGGCATGCCAGTTTATTGGTTCTTCTGTTTAAATGCCTACAAATTAAATTTTCTATGATTTCACTGTGTTCCAAACATCTTCATCCTTCAAACATCATTTTGCTCAAATTTGTTCTTCATGTTATAGCTGGAAAAGTTAAGTGACACTCAGTGCCAGCCTGAATCACAGCTAAAGTTCATAAGCGAAGCATGGCTACAGGTATGTCGTTGTCGTTTGCTTGCTATAGTTCATTATTATCAACTTCCAACACGAATTTTGTGTTCCAGATTGTCGAGTGTAGGCGAGTTCTTAAATGGACTTATGCCTATGGATATTATCTACCCGAGCGTGAACACGCCAAGAGACTGTTTTTTGAGTACTTGCAAGGTCTGTCTTTTCTTTCAAATTCTTAGATAGGATGGTTCTAATTGCATCAGCTCCGTTTACCTGATTGATTAATGGTGGGGATATCGATTCGTTTTTTACACAGGTGAGGCTGAGTCCGGGTTGGAACGACTCCACCAATGTGCTGAAAAGGAGTTGCAAGCTTACATAACTGCTGATGGTCCTTCAAGAGAATTTAACGAGTTCCGAACCAAACTTGCTGGACTAACCAGGTGATTGTCGTCGATCGTCACTATTACAATGCTTATAATTTGAAGGCCATTGAACATTTCAACTGCTGGAAGAATTTTCTTGAAGTTACCTTTCCAGCTTTATTGGTAGAGATATCGATATCGTAATTTTTCTCATTGTCGACTTTTCGATTGATTGCGATAACAGTGTAACTAGGAATTACTTCGAGAATTTAGTACGTGCTCTTGAGAATGGTCTATCAGATGTGGACTCCCAGGGTACCTGCAGCAGAACAGCAAGCTCGAAGAGCATCGGTGGCAGTAGGAGCAAAGGTGGGAAGGGCAAGATGAGTGCATTCCGAGCTAGCGGTTCGAGTCGAACCATTGATGATACTGACCATTGGTCTTGTGAACATTGCACCTTTGCAAATGTCAAGTCATTTACCATCTGCCAAATGTGCCAGCAACGGCGATAACCGTATTCACGCATTGGAAAACCAATGTAGACGATGCCTTTCGTTCCGTTCGTCGTCTGTTCTTGCTGGTCGGAATGTTCACACGCATAATTTATGTTTCAGAAGGAAATGACTCATTTACCAAATTGTTTCAGGTCATTCGATTCCGAACCAGCACTCTTGGACCAAGGCAAAAGCGTATGAGAAACTGAATATCAGCTGTATATACTTCCTCTCTACTCTTTGACTGTTTTTCGCCATTTTTAGCATGTACAACGTTGTACCCAAATGCATTTGCATGTTTGGTTTTCTGACCATTTCCTGTAATAGTGTATTTTTATACATAATACATATAAACATGTATCTGTATGAGGCAAGCATTAGATGATACAGGCCTTTGTAATAAGATGGCATGAACTGTTGTAAGAACGGTGATTTCAGTATTTTGTACGGTAAATTGATACTTTACCTCAAACAGACTGTATCTGTTGTAGTTTTCGTGAGATTTCACATTGGTTGGAGAGAGTAAGGAATCATTCCTTCAAAAGGGGGTGAAAATCTCTCTCTAATAGACACATTTTAAAACCGTGAGACTGATGGTTATACGTAACAAGTCAAAATAGACAATATCTGCTAGCGGTAGACTTGAGTTGTGACGGTTTCTTTTGTAGAACAATTGTACTTATGATTTCTTGTGGATGTTACTGTATTCATGCTTTAATTGACTAATATATGTTCTGATCGTTAACAACGTTTCATACATAATATTTACAAAAATCTTGAGTTTCATTCCGGAAAAAGAACTAGCCTACTTGGGGAATAGTAGGCATAGAATGGAGGTTGATGGTAGGATATCAACTGAGGCTCGGCCGACCGGGAGAGGTTTGGGGAAACCTGCCTTCGATCTCTTTTAGAAAATAAGGCGGCTCATCTTGCTAAACAATTTACCGCTCGAAAGCACAAGAGTGCTTCTTGTTTGAATTCTTAGGCTAGAGCCTGTTTGTAGTGTTATTACACCAACTACCACTTTTGGTTCTGAGCTCACAATCATAAATTTGCATAAATTCGATGTTTCAATGGATTAGAGAGATCCGGTTAAAGGCTTGAAAGATGGGACAAATGCTATGGGAGGTAGATATTGCATGTTGTGGTGGTCGAGATTGAACCCAAATCCCACACCGAAGCTACTAAATGTGTTCCAATAAACAATTCGAACCTAATACTAAAATTTTTCAGAGTTTTAACCCACTACTAGCATATAGTCCTTTTTGAGTTTTCCTTTCCGGGCTTCCCCCTCAAGGTTTTAAAACACATCTACTATGGAGAGGTCTAGCCTTACTCCAACCAGTGTCTGCACCGTCTGATTGCTGGATCTGATATCATTTGTAACAACCAACCCCACCAATAGTAGATATTGTCCGCTTTAGTTCGTTATGCATCGTCGTCAGCCTCACGATTTTAAAACGCGTATGCTAAGACGAGGTTCCACACCCTTATAAGGAATATAACGTTCCCTTCTCCAATTGATGTGAAATCTCACAACGAGATATAGAAACCGAAGAGACGAGTCAAATTGAAGCATGATGTGGTGACAACTATTGTTTATGTACGAGGGAAGCTGAGTCGAGCTCAACCTTTTATAGACAAGAATCCAACAATTTTTTTTCCTTTTGTTCGAGACGTTACAACATATGAGAGAACACTTTATAAATTCATTGTATATAGATTTCAACTTAGTCCATAATCATACATCATTCATATTCATAGCTCATGATCACTTAAGCCATAAACTCCTTGAACAAAGCTTGGAACTTCTCCATCTCCTTCTTAGGAAGAGCCACCAAAACATTCACTCCATTGTTCTTCCCACTTTCTTTCATGTCTGGAAACAACAATATGATTTCCTTTCTATGACACACCACCGGACAGCTATACCTTGGCTTCCCCCATGGATACTCAACCTCTGCAAACCCTAATCTCCACCATGAAGACACCAAGAACTCCCCATTTGGATACCCCTTGTATAGCTCTCCCCAATCTATGGCAGATCTCACATACTCATCCGTCATCCTCTCCGCTGCCTCCGCCACCATCTCTACCACACTCGAAAACGGCTCGTTCTCCAACTCCTTGCATTTAGCCGTGGCATACACTGTCAATACTGCGTTACCACAGTACGACATTGGCAATGGTGGAACCAGTCTCGACCTTTGTTAAGAATGTAAACAAAATATTAAATTTATCATAACCCGTCAACTTTTTGACTCAAAGTTTATTAACTCAAGTTTTTAGGTTAAGTGGTGATTTAACAACCTTATATTGACAGCGTAGAGCATCGTGGACGATCTTTCAGGGTTGTTTTCTGTGTCGAAGGACAATGCCTTGCACCGCCACACATGGGCAGTGACAACATTGAATCCACTGACGCGGGTCTTCTTGCCAACGTGACCTTCGTCTCCGCTGCCGGTGGCGGGCTGTGCCTTGAGCTTCAGGGTGGCGATGTCTGCAGCAGTCAGCTTGAAGATCTTGAAGTCAAGGTCTTGTGGAGTGTCTTTGAAGACTGAGATGTTTGATGAGTCCGGAGAGGCTGGCAGTGGAGCGTGCAGCTTGAGGAGTTCGTGATGTGGGAAAGTGACACGTGGAGGGGATCGTGCGGCCAAGAGTCGTCTGTCATGGCATGGAGTCACAGCCAGGGGCTTGTTATCAGCAAGAGCTGCAAAGTTATCTAAGAACATCTTGAAGCTCAAACCGTCGAGTGTGGTGTGGTTCATTGAGAAGCCCACGGCAAAGCCACCACACTTGAAAGAAGTAACCTATAAAATTGATATAAAATATTACAAAAATAGCCTCGATCAGCGCCATATTTTACGGGTAGCCTTATCCCGCTCGTACGAGTTTAGTAGATAAAATACCAATTATCATACGAAAGTTTGATGGTTCAATTTTTCATTCGAGACTGAACTCAAAAAAATTAGTGGTGTAGACAAATTTTGTTGGATTGGGTTGGACTAAGGATATCTTTTGGACAACCCAAAATTTTGGGTCGGTTGGGTTGGTGATTCAAGCAACTCTCACACAATCCAACCCTCTATTTCGAATTGGGTTGTCGGGTAGCTTTTTTTTTATTATCTAAAAAATTATATTTATCCATAATACATGTTATATTAATAACTAAAATTTCATAAAATTCAAATATTAAACATTCACCGCTGACTATAAATATCAAATATTCTTAATCTTCGTAAGAATTTAAAAAGTAAGGAACGACATGGTTAGATAGTAAGTATATTTTTGGGTTCGTTGGGTTGACCCAACAAAAAATGTCAACCAGCAAACTGTCTCGAATTTTCCGTTTTTCAAAAATTCAACTTAACCCAAACTCAGTTGGGTTACATAATCTTGGTTGGTCGAATTCTCTCATCATATGAACACCCTTAAAAAGTGATAGAACGTAGGGTTGATGAAAAAGTACCTGAACGATGACGAGAGGTTGATCATCGGGCTCGAAGACATCCAAATACTTAGAAACCAAGTGCTGAAAGGCAGGATTAGGGTAAACCAAATCTCCAATTTCATCCAAAGAGACATCACTTGAGGCCACCACAAAGCCAGCCCCAGCGCCATTGCAGTCAATCTCCAAGCGGCCATTTTCATGGCTAAGCTTCAACCTTCCAGCCAAGAAGTGATAGGGCACTAACAGCTTAGAAAAAGTGGCTTTGATCTTCTCAATGACCACATGGGGTGGAAAATGGTTATGGGGTGGAAAGAAATGGAGTGTTTCAACGCTGAAATTAAGGATTTGGTCTATGTTCGTCAAGAACAAACACTTTTTTTGTGTCTCTTGGGATGGATAAACTATAGAACACTCTTTGATGCTTACTTTTAGGTCAAGGGTTTCCATTTTCTCTTTTGTTTGTGGTGATTTTTCAATTTTTATGAGGTGGGTTGTGGATTTTATAGCTCGAAAATGAACTTTCGTGCCACCTATGGTGGATGGAGTGACATAAATGCTAGGGCACTTCGTGTTGGGAAGATGTATAAAAAGATTCGTAGTTGGAAACTTTTAGGGTTCAGTGGATGTGATGTCCCACATTGGTTGGGGAGGAGAACAAACCACCCTTTATAGGGGCGTGGAAACCTTCCCCTAGTAGACGTGTTTTTAAAGCCTTCAGGAGAAGCCCGAAACGAAAAGCCCAAATAGGACAATATCTGCTAGCGGTGGGCTTGGGTCGTTACAAATGGTATCCGAGCCAGACGCCAAACTATGTGCCAGCGAAGAGGCTATTCCTCGAAGGGGTAGACCTGAAGGGGATGGATTTTGGTGGAGGTCCCACATTGATTCGAGAAAGGAATGAGTGCCAGCAATGACGCTGCCCCGAAGTGGGGTGGATTGTGAGAATCCCACATTGGTTGGGGACCTTTATAAGGGTGTGAAAACATTTTGGTGGGGGTCCCACATCGATTGGAGAAAGGAATGAGTGCCAGTGATGACGCTGCCCCGAAGTGGGGTGGATTGTGAGAATCCCACATTGGTTGGGGACCCTTTATAAGGGTGTGAAAACCTTTCCTTAGCAGCGCGTTTTGAAAGCCTTGAGGGAAAGCCCAAAGAGGACAATATCTGCTAGCGGTGGGTCTGGGCCGTTATAGTGGTAGTTTAACGTGTAATAGCCACTTGCTCGTGATGATTTTGTGTGTTATGTCGTGGGTTTTATAGCAAAAAAGTTTTGCCCGTTATGTTGGATGAAGTGTTGTAAATGCTAGGCAAGTTCGTGTTGAGAATGTGTATAAAAAAGATGGCATATCCTACCGATTTAAATTTTTGGGACTGGTTCGATCGAGAGATCTTTAGGGTGGGAATGAATTTGGTATATTGAAATTTAATTGCTTAAAATTATTTTAATGATTTGACTTACAAAAGCTTCGTATCGGAATCTACAAAGAAACGATCCAATTGATCAAGATGCACAATGCAGATCGTATCCATACGACTTTGCACTTATTGATAAAAATAAACTAAATTATCTATCCTACAATATCAACACAAATATGATTTATTTTCGGACATTAAAAAAAACATCTAACCAAACCACTCGAGTTGAGTGGCAATACATTGCTTGAAGTTTTGTAACGTTATTTTTCTTTGTCATTGGATATTTCATAGCCACTTGCTGAATCTTAATTAACATAAATTTTTTAGTCATTTCGGTTCGATTTCGTGAACTCTTTGAATATTAATTTGATTAATAAAACCTGACCCGTTAACGGTCGGTATAATATAATATCATGATGAAAAAATTTGTTCTTAATGAAAACTATATATTAAAACTTTATACATATTTTAATTCTTAGACATATTTTGTTCCCCACAGTGCATAACAATAATGGCAGCTGATTTGGAGACATTAATGCTCACCAACCACATCATAATTAAACATATGAATGATCACGATCGTGGTAGCTAACTACTTAAAACGATACCCATCTGAACAAAACGATCACGAATGAGGTCTTTTGGGAAAGCCGAAAGCAAAACCATGATGAGTCTCTAAATTAGCCAATGTGGGACTCCCTCCCAACTATCCTCAACAATCCTTCTCTCGAACAAAGTACACTATAGAGCCTCCCCTGAGGCTTAGAAGGCGTATAGAGCACTCGAACAACCTCCCCTTAAATTGAGACTCAACTCCTTTCTCTGGAGCCCTCGAACAAAGTACACCCTTTGTTCGACACTTGAATCACTTTGGACTTCATTTTCGAGGCTAGCAATTTCTTTGTTCGATATTTGAGGATTCTATTGACATGACTAAGTTAAGAGCATGACTCTGATACCCTGTTAGGAATCACGGCTCTCTACAATGATATGATATTGTCCACATTGAGCATAAGCTCTCTTAGCTTTGCTTTGGACTTATAACTCGTTCCAAAAGGCGTCATTCCAATGGAGATATATTCCTTTACTTATAACTCGTTCTTACTTAATCCCTTAATGATCAAAACTAGATGCGTTTAGTCTTTAGTCGGTTGTATTTTGTTGTTAAATTTTCTATTATTAACCCGGAATACGACACTTATTCGATATATTATTTAAAGATTACATATTTTCATATAAGTTTAGGCATTTGGGTGAAAATTAGAAGACATAAATTAACAAATCTAACCAAATATGGTATCATTTTCAATGAATGGGATTAATGATATTGTAAGTAAGGAGACACCGATTTTGTAGTTGGAGTAGCATTAATGAATGGGATTGGTGATGATACAACAAACAAGCCACCGGTTGTTTAGTTGGAATATCATTTTAAAAAAGTGGTTGAGCGAGTAGGGGTCGAGATGAAAAGGTAAACATGGTGTTAAGAACGTTTGTCGGTAGGGTTGGATCGGATTAGTACATTTTTTAGGCACAATTTATGTAAGATCTCACATCAGTTGGAGAGAATAACAAAATATTTCTTATAAGGGTGTAGAAACCTCTCCCTATAGACCCGTTTTAAAACTGTAAGGTTGACGGCGACACTTAACGGGTAAAAGCGGACAGTATCTGCTAGTAGTGAGCTTGAGCTGTTACGAATGATATTAGAGTTAGACACCTAGTGGTGTGCTAGTGAGGATGCTGGGCCTCCAAGGGGGTGGATTGTGAGATCTTACATCGATTGGAGAGGGTAATGAAACATTCCTTAACATAGCATTCCTTATAAGGGTGTGGAAACCTCTCCCTATAGATGTGTTTTAAAACCGTGAGGCTGATGGCGATACGTAATGGGTCAAAGTGGACAATATCTGCTAGCGGAGTACAAATGGTAACAGAGTTAGATACTGAGCGGTGTGCTAGTGAGGACATTGGGCCTCCAATGGGGTGGATTGTGAGATCTTATATCAATTAGAGAGGAGATTGAAGCATTCCTTGTAAGGGTGTGGAAACCTCTCCCTATAGATGTGTTTTAAAACCGTGAGGCTGACAACGATACATAATGGGTAAAAGCGGACAGTATCTGCTAGTAGTGAGCTTGATCTGTTACAAATGGTATCAGAGTTAGACACCGAGCGGGGGTGGATTGTGAGATCTTAAATCAGTTGGAGAGGGGCTTATAAGGGTGTGGAAACCTCTCCCTATAGATGTATTTTAAAATCGTGAGGTTGATGGCAATACTTAAAGATTCAAAGTGGAAAATATCTACTAGCAGAGCTTGGGTTGTTACAAATGGTATCAGAGTTAGACACCAAGCAGTGTGCTAGTGAGGACGTTGGGCCTCCAATGGGGTGGATTGTGAGATCTTACATCGGTTGGAGATGGGAATGAAGCATTCCTTATAAGTGTGTGGAAACCTCTCCCTATAGATGTGTTTTAAAACCGTGAGGCTGACGACGATACGTAACGGGTCAAAGCGTACAATATCTGCTAGCGGTGAACTTAAGTTGTTACAAATGGTATCAGAGTTAGACACCGAGCGGTGTGCTAGTGAGGATGTTGGGCCTCCAATGGGGTGGATTATAAGATCTTACATCGGTTGGAGGGAGGAATGAAACATTCCTTATAAGAGTGTGGAAACCTCTTCCTATACATATGTTTTAAAACTGTAAGACTGATAACGATACTTAACAGGTCAAAGTGGACAATATTTGCTAGCGAAGCCTGGGATGTTACAAATGGTATCAGAGGTAGACACCGAGTGGTGTGCTAGTGAGGACGTTGGGCCTCCAAAGGGGTGGATTGTGAGATCTTACATCAGTTGGAGATGTGAATTAAGCATTCCTTATTAGTGTGTAAAAACCTCTCCCTATAGATGTGTTTTAAAATCATGAGGTTGACGGCGATACGTAGCAGGTCAAAGCGTACATTATCTGCTAGCGGTGAGCTTGGACTGTTACAATTCAATTGTTCGGGTTTTCAAGCAACCTGTATTAAGTGATGAACTTAATTGAACTCAAGTATAAAATATTTGAATTTGGTAGGTTCGAGTTGGGTCGTTATTCAAATATTTGGAACTCAAGTTGCGTATAAGAACTTGTACAATGTGTGATGTGTAAAGGGCTTGTACGTTAACCTCTAACATGAGCCCATCTTAGGGATCAACATTTGCACCGTACCACCACGAGTTGGTATGTAGGGTTGAGCCCTCGAGAACTTTATTGTGCTGTGAAATTATTGTTGTAGGAATGATAAATGAATCTCTAACCGTTCCTTAACCGTTGATTTATTCAGATAGGAGAAAACGACCACACAATTGCTATCACTTCGTAATTACTCAGTTAGTTTTAGGGCTGCTCCCTTCTTGTCGTGTATGAAAAGTAGGAGCTATTCGGAAGTCACCAATAATGTAACTATTTAGAATAGCGATACCCCTATTTGAAGATGAACTCATGGATCAGAATAGACCAAGGTAGCACCTCGATACCTATCAGATGTAGGTATATAACACATGCAATAACTTATAACGAGTTGGTATGTTTACTTTCTATGTTAGTGTTAGTCAAGATAATTGTTTGAACTTCTCGGAACTAAAAAATGAGAGCCGATGAACCGAAAGAGACCTTGATTGGGCAAGACAACTATGAATCTTTACCGTGCTAGAACCCTGAGTCATTTGTTGAGTATATTTTTTATACCCAGCCCCAACTTCCATAGGTCCTTGGTTCGACCTCCTAATGAGAATTCAAATCCTTGCGCGGGCGTCTCATCCCCAAGACTTGCTTGCTCTATATGGAGTGCCCCGTGGTTCCTCGAGTGCCAGCCGCGGAGAGGAATACCATTAACTAGGGCACTATTAGCCACTAACCACTCGTTCATCATCTACTCTGGCTCCGCGTTTCAAGTTCGTTATCCTAACCGTCTCCTCTGCTCCACCGGGAGCCTGACTCCTTCTTCGATCTTATCTATAGCTTTGCTCCTCGGCTCCCTACAGCTCTAACCGTTCATTGTAATAACTTGCTTCTCGGA